CCGACTCACCTCTCACCCGGAACTTCCTTTCTGTATCTGAAATCACTTCCTGTCTGTCCCTGACATCACTTCCTGTCTACCATAGAGACTTCCTGTCTGGGTAGAAGTGGGATCACCACCTTGGTGCACTCAGAGGAACGTCAGCCCCCAGAAATGATTATCAGGTTATATATGGTCCTATAAATTGGTTCATGTGATTAGTTATCTTTCTATTCAGGATAAGAATCTGGTATGTATTTTTAAGGGGGACTCCATGCCATTTGTTTAGGGGGCTCTCCCATTAACATCTCTATCAGACCCTAATCTAGGATGGATGTCTGATATAGATGAAGGGAATCCTCAGCCCCGGCCATTTACTGGCATTTTTCTTCTTTGTAAATATTGGTGTTGCTGTGGTAGGTTGTGTACATCATACAGATCACACATCTTCACAGGCAGCTTTAGGGCATCCCTTAGTATTATTATTTAAAGATGTTTTGCAATTTTAAAGAGGGCCCTTTGGGAATTATTACAATTCCTGTCCCCCACCAAACAGAGACTAGACCTGAGCTTGACAGCTGGGTTGGCTTGCTGAGCTTTGATTTGACAGATGAGTGGGCTAGCTGGACTTAGGCTTGAAAGTTGAGTGGGCTAAATGGAAAGGGGCTTGACAGATGAGTTGGCAAGCTGTGCCTTAACTTGACAGATAAGTGGGCTAGATGAACCTGGGCTTACAGCTGAGTGGACTAGATGGACTTAGGCTTGACAGTTGAGTTGGTTAGCTGGAGTTGTGCTTGACAGTGAATGGGATAGATGGACCTGGGCTTGACGGTTGAGTTGACTAGATGGAGCTAGGCTTGACAGTTGACTGGGCTATCAGAGGATGGGCTGACAGTTGAGTGGGCTAGCTGGATCTGGGCTTGACAAGTGAGTGGACTAGTTGGACTGGAGCTTGTCAGTTGAGTGGGCTAGATGGACCTGGGCTTGAGAGTTGAGTTGGCTAGGTGAAGTTGAGCTTGACAGTGGAGTGGGCTATCTGGGGCTGGGCTTGGCAGCTGAAAGGGCTAGGTGGACCTGGGCTTGACAGCTGGGTGGACTTGCTGTAGCTGGACTTGACAGTTGAGTAGGTTAGCTGGGCCTGGGCTTGACAGTTGAGTGGACTAGCTGGACCTGGACTTGACAGTTGAATGGGCTAGATGGACCTGGGCTTGACAGTTGAATGGGCCTAGATGGACCTGGACTGTCAAAGTTGAGTGGACTAGCTGGAGCTGGTCTTGACAGCTGAATGGGCTAGATCAGGGGTCTCCAAACTGCAGCCTGGGGGCCAGATGTGGCCCTTTGCTAGCCTTTACCTGGCTCTTGGGGTACTATTGTTCTCAATGATATAAAACGCTATTCCTTCCTCTGACATCAACAATGGGGCACTATTCCTGCCACTGATACCAGTGATGGGGAACTATTCCTCCCACTGACAGCAAAGGTGGGGCACTATTTCTCCCAATGATGGGGCACTGTTATCTCAGCCAATTGGCCACAATGTTTGCAGGTGCTGGTCGGGCTGAATACGGGTTCGTCAGACACATCGAGGATTACGACAAAATGGCACCCATCTGTATATTGCCTTGGCATAGAGCGAGCTCCTCTTAGTCGAAAAAATAGCTTCAGCTTGGTCTCTTTCCCATGGGAGAACCCCATTGTGGAGTTGGGGTAATTATGCTCATATTGCCATTCAATGAGTTGTGCCAAATGAGTTGGCGCCCCACTTCTATTATGCAAAGCCCATAGACATTGATTCCCGTTCTCATGGAAGGGTTGTTCAAACGACAAAACATGAACTGCAGAGAAATGCTATCCCGCCTGGTTATGCTTCCCCGCCTGGTTATGCTTCAACAGCACCATTGCTCTGAATACTGGTCCCATGAGCTCAAGCTCACTCAGCCTTGTAGAATGCAGCACCTGGCTGCACTGTTCTATACTCTAGGAACACACCTAGGATAAGACCTCCTGTCTCCTGGCTTAGGCACACCTGACCCCTATATAGGAGTCCATCTGTCTCCTGGGATGAGACCTCATCTCTCCTGGTTGGGGCAAACCTGACCCCTAGATAGGAGTCCATCTGTCTCCTGGGATGAGACCTGTCTCCTGGTTGGGGCACACCTGACCCCTAGATAGGAGCCCATCTGTCTCCTGGGATGAGACTTCCTGTCTCCTGGTTGGGGCACACCTGACCCCTATATAGGAGTCCATCTGTCTACTGAGAAGTGACCTGTCTCCTGGCTGAGGCACACCTGACCCCTAGATAGGAGCCCATCTGTCTCCTGGGACGAGACTTCCTGTCTCCTGGCTGGGCACACCTGACCCCTAGATAGGAGCTGACCCGTCTACTGGGACGAGACTTCCTGTATCTTGGCTGGGCACACCTAACCCCTAGATAGGGAGTCCACCTGACACCTGGGATGGGACCTCCTTATGTCTCCTGGCTTAGGCACACCTGGCCCCTATAGGAGCCCATCTGTCTCCTGGGATGAGACCTCCTGTCTCCTGGTTGGATCACACCTAACCCGTAGATTGAAGCCCACCTGTGTACTGAGATGTGACCTCCTGGATGGGCACACCTGACCCCTAGATAGGAGATGACTTGTCTACTGGGACGAGACTTCCTGTCTTTTGGCTGGGCACACCTGACCCCTAGATAGAAGCCCACCTGTCTCCTGAGATGTGACCTCCTGTCTGGGCACACCTGAGACCGAGATAGAAACCCACCTGTCTCCTGAGATGTGACCTCCTGTCTCCTGGCTTAGGCACACCTGGCCCCTAGATAGAAGCCCACCTGTCTCCTGGGACGAGACTTCCTGTCTCTTGGCTGGGCACACCTGACCCCTAGCTAGGAGCTGACCCGTCTACTGGGACGAGACTTCCTGTCTCCTGGTTGGGGCACACCTGACCACTATATAGGAGTCCATCTGTCTCCTGGGATGAGACCTCCTGTCTGCTGGTTGGGGCACACCTGACCTCTAGCTAGAAGCCCACCGGTCTACTGAGACGAGACTTCCTGTCTCTTGGCACACCTGACCCCTAGATAGGAGCTGACCTGTCTACTGGGATGAGACTTTTTGTCTCTTGGCTGGGCACACCTGACCCCTAGATAGGGAGTCCACCTGAGACCTGGGATGGGACCTTCTGTCTCCTGGCTTAGACACACCTGGCCCCTATAGGAGCCCATTTGTCTCCTGGGATGAGACCTCCTGTCTCCTGGTTGGATCACACCTGACCCCTAGATAGAAGCCCATCTGGCTACTAAGATGTGACCTCCTGTCTCCTGGATGGGCACACCTGACCCCTAGATAGGAGCTGACCTGTCTACTGGGACGAGACTTCCTGCCTCTTGGCTGGGCACACCTGACCCCTAGATAGAAGTCCATCTATCTCTTGGGATGAGACCTCCTGTCTGGGCACACCTGACCCCTATATAGAAGCCCACCTGTCTCCTGAGATGTGACCTCCTGTCTTAGGCACACCTGGTCCCTAGATAGGAGTCCATTTGTCTCCTGGGATGAGACCTCCTGTCTCCTGGCTGAGGCACACCTGACCCCTAGATAGAAGTCCATCTTTGTCCTGGGATGAGACCTCCTGTCTCCTGGTTGGGGCACACCTGACCCCTAGATAGGAGCCCATCTGTCTCCTGGGATGAGACTTCCTGTCTCTTGGCTGGGCACACCTGCCCCCTAGATAGGGAGTCCACCTGACACCTGGGATGAGACCTTCTGTCTGCTGGCCTAGGCACACCTGGCCCCTATAGGAGCCCATCTGTCTCCTGGGATGAGACCTCCTGTCTCCTGGTTGGGGCACACATGACCCCTAGATAGAAGCCCACCTGTCTACTGAGATGTGACCCCCTGTCTCCTGGCTGAGGCACACCTGACCCCTAGATAGGAGTCCATTTGTCTCCTAGAATGAGACCTCCTGTCTCCTGGCTGAGGCACACCTGACCCCTAGATAGGAGCCCATCTGTCTCCTGGGATGAGACTTCCTGTCTCTTGGCTGGGCACACCTGACCCCTAGATAGGAGCTGACCTGTCTACTGGGACGAGACTACCTGTCTCTTGGCTGGGCACACCTGACCCCTAGATAGAAGTCCATCTATCTCTTGGGATGAGACCTCCTGTCTGGGCACACCTGACCCCTATATATAGAAGCCCACCTGTCTCCTGAGATGTGACCTCCTGTCTTAGGCACACCTGGTCCCTAGATAGGAGTCCATTTGTCTCCTGGGATGAGACCTCCTGTCTCCTGGCTGGGCACACCTGATTCCTAGATAGGAGTCCACCTGACACCTGGGATGAGACCTTCTGTCTCCTGGCTTAGGCACACCTGCACCCTCCCTGCCCACATCCGATTCACCCAGCTGCATGGGCCCCCGTGCTGGCTTGAGCCCCATATAGGAGGACTTTTGGTACCCCCTTACCCACAACCCTGCTGGCTGATATCCATTCCCCCAGTTCATGGTTACCCGTAGCATCTACAATCCTTTCTTCAGTTCATTTGTTGAGCTAACCTTGGTGGTGGCCTTCCGTTCCTTGCTCTTCAGCCCCATAAGTGCTTTACAGGCCCCGTTCTGCTAGAGATGCCATTTGCCACCAAGCACCCCTTTGTAAATAACTCCAGACCGGGCTTTTGGACGGCTAACAGTTTTACTCAACATGCTGCAATAATACACTCCGAAGTGCACACAGTTCTTCTTTTAACTAGCTAGCAGTGTGAGACAGCTGATGTCTAGCTAAAAGTTGTCAATGTGCAAAACATTTCCCGCACTCCCCCCCGTGAGATGTTTGGGCTCTGTCTAATTCTGATTTTGTTAAAAAACATTTCCCGCACTCTAGAAAGAATACAGCTTCACCCCCATATGAGATAGTTGGTCTCTGTCTAATTCTGATTTTGTTAAAAAACATTTCCCGCACCCAAGCAAGAATACGGCTTCACCTCCATGTGAAATGTTTGGTGTCCTTCTAATTCTGATTTTGTTAAAAAACATTTCGAACACTCAAGAAAGAATACAGCTTCACCCCCATGTGAGATGTCTGGTGTCTGTCTAATTCTGATTTTGTTAAAAAACAGTTCCCACACTCATGGCAGGAATATGGTTTCCTCCCTGAGTGAAACCTCTGATGTCTTGTTAGATTGTGTCGATGTGCAAAACATTTCTCACACTCAGGGCAGGAATACGGCTTCTCCCCTGTGTGGGATTTCTGGTGTGTGGAAAGATCAGTCTTCCTTGAATAACATTTCCCGCACTCAGGGCAGGAATACGGCTTTTCACCTGTGTGAGACAGCTGATGTACAGAAAGATATGATTTCCGTGAAAAACATTTCCCGCACTCATGGCAGGAATATGGCTTCTCCCCCGTGTGAGATCTCAGATGTGTAGAAAGATTAGACTTCTCTGAAAAACATTTTTTGCACTCGGGACAGGAATACGGCTTCTCCCCCGTATGGATTCTCTGATGTACAGAAAGACTTGCCTTGTGTGAAAAACATTTCCCGCACACAAGGCAGGAATACGGTTTTTCTCCCGTGTGAGATGATTGGTGTCTGTCTAATTCAGATTTTTTAAAAAAACATTTCTTGCAGTCAGGGCAGGAGTACGGCTTCTCCCCCGTGTGAAATGTCTGATGTCTAGTTAGATCACGTCGATGTGCAAAACATTTTCCGCACTCAGGGCAGGAATACGGCTTCTCCCTCGTGTGCAATTTGAGATGTGTGGAAAGATAAGACTTCTGTGAATAACATTTTCCGCACTCATGGCAGCAATATGGTTTCTCGCCTGTGTGAGACATCTTGTGTAAAGAAAGATGGGCCTTCTGTGAATAACATTTCCCGCACTCAGGGCAGGAATACGGCTTCTCCCCTGTGTGAGACATCTGATGTCGAGCTAGAAGCTGTTGACGTAAAAAGCATTTCCCGCACTCAAGGCAGGAATACAGCTTCTCCCCTGTGTGGGATCTCTGATGTGTGGAAAGATAAGACTTCTGTGAATAACATTTCCCACACTCAGGGCAGGAATACGGCTTTTTGCCTGTGTGAGTTTTTTGATGTATAGAAAGATGGGACTTCTGTGAATAACTTTTCCCGCACTCGGGGCAGGAATACGGCTTCTCCCCCGTGTGACTTCTTATATGTACATGAAGAATGGATTTATAACGGAATAACGGAAACATTTCCCGCACTCAGTACAGGAGAATCTCTTCCCTGTTGGAAAGCCAACCTGGTCCCGCACAGTCTGAGGTTCCTCAGGATACGAGGAATCCGATGGTCCATCTACACTGGGTGGTGCCGGATGGACATTGGAGGGAGCCGGGTTTTCTCCTGGACTATACTGTGTGATGTCCTCATCTTCTACTTTCCAGTCTGGAGACAAAGTGAGACAATCTTCAGAGGTTTTCCTCATCTCCCGGCCATGGACTAAAAAATAAAAAATGATTGGTAGACATGAGTGGATTGGTTCCCCTAAACCAAAATTGAGTTTGTTACTGAGGATCATAAATGGTTCCTCCTGACCTCCAACCAGTTCACTTCTGTATTCATTGACCATGTTGGAGAGTGAGGGGACCAATGAGACCCGTCTTTATAGGAGTGAAAGAAGAAAGGGGACCAATGAGAACCATCCCAGGTCAGTGATTGAAGTACTCAAGCCAAGGGTTCAGCCTCACAGCCAGACAATTAGTATTTTAAGCAGAAGGTGTGTTTTATTGTGCCCCCGACATATACTTCATGACCTACCTGTGCTGATCTCTGTAGGAGTGTCCTCCTCTACAAATGTCCCCGTTATTCCATCCTCCTCCATAGACTGCTGATCATCCCTCACATACGCCTCTTCTTCTTCTGATTTTACCTCAACTTTTATATCTGTCAGATCTTCACCCTAAACCAAGAGAAGGAGAGAAAATATCATCTACACAGTTACTTTCATGTTCTAGATGTTCGATCTCACAAACCATTATGGATCATGGTGACCATAGATGTGAGTTACCTGTGTGGAATCCAGAGGATGGGGACATCTCTCTGATGGGTTCCTGTAGCTGGACGACTCCACCATGGTGTCCTGGTACAGATCTTTGTGTCCTTCTGGAACCTCTGACTCCCCATCCTCCTCTTTTATCTGTTCTTTAATAACAACTGTAGAACCTCTCAGGTTTCCACTCTGAATATATAATAAAATGCCATCAATGGTAACAATGCAGATAATGTACAGATCCTAATGACACTATCCGTGATTGTTCCTCATCTACCTGATGATGGTGAGGGATGGTGTGACCTTCCTGTGTGGAATCCCGGGAATACAGAGGACAGGGGACATCTCTCTGGTGGGTTCCCATGACTGGATCCATCTGTAGGAAACACACACACTGACTGAATCAATTGTTTCTATGTGTTTATCAGATGATGGGGGATCTAGGTGGATCCTCCGTACTGCTCTCTCCTTTCCAATAAAGTCTCCTCTTACCCGGTGATGTGAGGGGCAGCTGATTGTCCATCATGACGTCCTTGTAGAGGTCCTTGTGTCCTTCTAAATACTCCCACTCCTCCATGGAGAAATAGACAGTGACACCCTGACACCTTATAGGAACCTGACACACACAATGATACAGTCACCATCCAGACACATCCCTTGTCTGTTACTGGAGAATGTCCCAGAATTCCCGGCACCGCTCACCTCTCCTGTCAGCAGATGGACCATCATGGTGGTCAGTTCCAGGATCTTCTGCTCTTTGTTCCTCTCAGGTATTGGCGAACGAGGGGGAGGCACCATGGTGGGGCTCTGGGTCCTGCTCAATCCTCCTGAGATTGGCTCCCCACTAGACTTCTTCACTACAACATAATCCTACAGATCAGGAGAAAGAGAAACCGATATCAATCATCTGACATCATCTACATGTCTACAAGAAGTACATGGTCTATTGGCCAGACTAGACTAGAGTGATGTCATGTGACCTCCCAGAATCCTCACCTCTCCCGTCAGGTCTGTGTTTTATTAATAGAGATGAGAGTGATGTCATGTGACCTCCCAGAATCCCCCTCACCTCTCCGGTCAGGTCTGCAGTAGTAGATGATGTAATGTGACTCCCAGAATCCTTCTCAGGGCAGGTGATGGTCCAGGGTGAGGTTTAGTATCCTCTCAGTCATGTGACTCCAGTCCTCCTCCATTCTCATAGATGTGGGCATGTGATCTCTGTAGACGGATAGCAGAGAATTATGTGGACTGTGTTGGTTGTACAATATTAGGATGGGGATTTAAGGGGGCAATAGTTGGCTGTCCCCTGTGGAAATTGGCACATGTAGAGGTCGGTACATAAGGGTTCAATAAGGGACAGTTGAGGAGAGAAGAATGGTAGAAGAATTGGTGTATAAGAGTTGGGAGTTATACTTCCCACCATCCCCCACACCCCTCTAATGTGTCTTCTCTGCTGGCGGTATATAAGGACAGACCTCTTCCCTCTCACTGATGGTGGTGAAGTGGTTGTCTCTGTACCTGGGGGATGTGATGTTGGGGATGATGATGCAGCAACTGAAGTTGAACTGAACTGATGTGGAGCTTTTCCCACCATATTTTGCTCCCATGGAGCTCTGTGGTGAAGCTTCATGTTGTTTCAGGTATTGCCCAAGCTGATGTGACAAGGGGACTGTCAGCAGTGGAGTTGCTATGTCCACCAGATGCCTGGTGATGGCTGTTCAAGGCTGTCCATTGTGAAGTGCTCCTACTTTTGAACACCCTCTTCCAGTGAGAAAAAAGGTGGTGGGCGATGAGATGTCAGACCACACGTGGGTGTCATGGAAGGAAGATCAGGACAGTTCAGAGGAAGAGGTCAAGCTCTGAGAAGGAGAGCATGGACATGTTGTCCATGCTCTCCTTCTCAGAGCTTGACCTCTTCCTCTGAACTGTCCTGATCTTCCTTCCATGGCACCCACGTGTGGTCTGACATCTCATCGCCCACCACCTTTTTTCTTACTGGAGTCCAACTCACAAAAAGCACTGGCTGCTGGCACTTTGAGATCTGGTACTGCTTCTGGGTGAATGCTTGCTTTCCCCTGCCTGGACCATGGCTTCCTTAGAAGCTCTTAGATGCTGACCCATCTCCTCCACTAAATCATCTCCACTGATCTGTCTGTTCTGGCAGAACCTGCTGTATAGTGTGAGTGGAGTCTAGGGATAGGTGGATATTTGTGCACCTTAGAGAAGAAGAATGCAACAGAGAGCTAAATGAAATTGTCTTTTAGTTCCCTCACCTGGGCTTCCCTAACTGTGGGCCTTAAGTTAGTAATCAGCCCTGACCTAAAAAGAACAAGGACTGGAACTCATGCCATGAGACGTGAGTTTTTGGACTGTCTACTGACTATTATGCCACTATTACTATTTTAACTTGCCTCTGGCTGTAGGTGGCTGGATGGGTGCAACTCATAATATGGGTGCTGGTGGACAGAATCCTGGATGTACGGTATATGATGTAAAACCGGTCAGGCCAAGAGATGGTGGTGGCTAGTTTAATGGACAGAGGTTTGCCCTCCTGAAAGTTAGTAGAGGGCCTCTTAATCGTAACCAGGTGACCTGAGCCCCTGTGTTTCATGGTTCCCAAATGCATAGGGATATCATTGAAGCCACAGCCTGTAACCATGGAAGATAGGCAAAGCCTTGCAAGCGAATAATTCCCAACTAATGAAGTTGCTGGTTCTACGTTGGACCAGGAAAATGGCATCTTGGGGTTTCCAATCTGCCATCTGTACACACTGTGAGCAGACAGTAGAGGTCTTCGTTGCTTTTGGGATGGTTGTAGCACAGTGTCAGAGGCCCCTGGATAGCCCTGAATCTTTGTACGCTCCTAGCGCAGCAATGACTACGAGGGAACTGCTGAGGGTCAGCCTACATGTTGTCCTTGGTCAACAGCTGTGCCTGGCACCAAAAATAATCAACCATAAATTTTACCAAAATTCAAGTCCTGGAAATTGGAGTCAAAATCCTGCACAAACTAAACCTGAATCTCTTCCCTCACTAAAAGAGATTCCTAAGGTGAGAAGATGACATCTCCAAAATGAGGATAACGTTTTGGCCCCGTAAGTGGAGGAATGTTTTGGCCCCGTAAGTGGAGGAATGTTTTGACCCTGAAGGGTAGGGTGGCCACCTCATCCCTTTAAAACTGAACAGATATTCATTACACAGGTTCTGTGGCTGATGAAGGTGGTCATTAAACTCACCTAGTGCCTTCTCTGCTTCAATTAGGACTGATGCTAAACCCGTGTCATTAAGAATGTTCGGGAAGGTTGCAACCTTGCTGAAGGGGTTAAATGGGTTCCCACACTATATATGTGGGGAATCAAATCATCTGAATGGAGAACAAAAAGAGGGCGTCACAGTGACTTGGACCAAAGGGACGTTTAATAAAAAATGGGAGGAAGTAGGTGTTGTACTCACAAACGACAATATAGTCAAGGCACATCATAGGTGGAGGGCGCTGTGAGTAACAGTCCACAATAGGGAGTTTAGACATCCAAAAGGCTGACGCGTTTCGAGGACTTGCCTCTTACCTCAGAGCCCGAGGGAAGAGGCAAGTCCTCGAAAAACGCGTCAGCCTTTTGGATGTCCTAAAACTCCCTATTGTGGACTGTTACTCAGCGCGGTTGTGATCCATGCTGTTCTTCTATGATGTGCCTTGACTATATTGTCGTTTGTGAGTACAACACCTACTTTATTTTTTATTAAACATTTTTTATGGTAATGCACTAGGCCTGTGCGCCCTCTTTTTGGTCATTAAACTCACCTAGTGCCTTCTCTGCATTCAATTAGCCTGAGAACCCGTGTCATTAATATTTGTTCGGGATGAGGTTGAACCTCTACTGAAGGGGTTAATCTGGGTTCCCACACTATATATGTGTGTATCATCATCTGCTGGAGATAAAAGACGTCACAGTGACTATGGAGGAAGAGGACGGACGTGACGGTGGAGGAAGAGGACGGACGCGACGGTGGAGGGAGAGGACGGGCGCGACGGTGGAGGGAGAGGACGGGCGCGACGGTGGAGGGAGAGGACGGGCGCGACGGTGGAGGGAGAGGACGGGCGCGACGGTGGAGGGAGAGGACGGGCGCGACGGTGGAGGGAGAGGACGGGCGCGACGCTGGAGGGAG